GTACAGTGACAGAATAAATGGATTACTAACTGATGACAAGTTTACCAATGTAAGGGCAATGCCAATAAGATAGTTAAATGTTGCTGTGCTTTCCTAAATGAGGCCTCATCTCTCTGGTGCAGCCACAGAGAAGATGTTCTTGTAGTTTCTGATTTAAATTGCTCTCTTTGGTAAGGAGCAGCAGCTCCCCAATGGGGATGTGCTCAGCCATGGTTGGCTATCATAATCAATGGCCATTTGTGGTGACTATCTGTCTATGAGATTCTGGAGAACATCTGGATTGCAGTCCTAGATTTCTGAGGTCATTGATACTCATCTCTTACCTTGACCAACCAATTGGAAACCTGCAGGCTGTGGTAACCTAATCACAGGTCACCACCTGTCTTTGTTCCAGATAAAAAGAGTGTGGATCTCAGAACTTTGCTCCTCCATCCACTCTTGCACTCCCTCAGACCTAATCACATGACTGCCAGCACTGTTGTTTAAGTGTGGGACATGCAACTTCGTTCCCAGAGCGAACCAGAGGATGCTTGTATGTATGAATTCAAATTGTTAGTAAAAGCCAACAGGGACACTTCGCTTGATCACCAAAGTATATATTTTGACTCCTGTTGACAATCTGAGTATGTTTTTATTCAGCAGTGGCGCTTAAAAGGAGGCAAACCAAGTTTCTTTCCCCTAAAGAGTGACTTTGTCGGACCCATGGTCACCCTCTGTGCAGAGAGATTCTCTGCTAGCCAGCCGGACTACTAGTAGGTTCCTGGGAGAGACGACTGCCTCCCTCCTCTCTCCTTCCGACTCCTCCGGCGGTGCAACAGGATTGGATGGCATCGAGCCAGAACCGGCCATAGGACAACAATCAAATACCGCAGCGATTGGATGTAGCAGTCAGGTGGCCTTTGGTATATTCTTTGTTTTGTATCTCTTTGTTCTTTGCATCTCTTCGTGATTATATACCTTGCATTTTGATAACCCTCACAGTAAGAATTGCCATCTGTATCCAGGCAGACTGTTATGTTTTATATGCACAATTTATGTATTAATAAATGTATCTTGTGTATTGAATCCATGTTTGTGTGTCACTGATTGATTTTCTAATAGCCATAAAAGAATAACCTCGTGGTTACTGCTACAATTAATAAATTGTTCCAATAAATTCACAAAACTCCTACACCAATATGTATGAGAAGGACCAGAATGCCAGTGCTTCTGCTCTCTGCTCAAGCAAGATGAGGTTAAGTGAATGTGCACCAAACCGACTGGGCCATGACACCTCTCTGCCTTCCCCCTGTATAAATCTGCTGTCACATTTTGTCGTGCACAAGATTGAAAGAACTTGTATATTATGTGCAATTCTAGCTGTGTTTGAGATTTGATCCTTATGACATGTAGCTTTAGACTGTAGGATCACTAGTATAACAAACAATGGGTCTTCTGCATTACTCACCCCATTTACAACAGAAAGCAAAATGTTACTCTTCAGTTTGTTTTTCTTCCCCTTAACTATTAAAAAATATCCTTAATACTTGTGATGTGAATAAGCACAGTGCAGAAACGTTTAATGCTATTTAAAAAATCTCTGTATTAAAAATAGTCATTTGAGGATACATGGGCGTAGATCAGCCCACTTCTGCTTCAGTTCCTGCTTGATGGACTCCGGGGCAAAGATACACCTGATGGCCTGTTCTGACAGCGTCCACACAGCTTCCTGGCTCAGGCCGAAGGTGGAGGCGGCCAGCTGGTACTCCTGGGACAGGTCAGTACCGAAGACGCCCTTGTCATCCGCCTGGGGAGGGGTGAATGATTAGGTCAGTCAATATCTTCCGTAATTTAAAAACTGAACACCCTCCCCAGGCATTCAGCAGTGGAAGAT